GCTGCACTCAGGTGAAGAAATCAAATATAAAAACTCGTTTGCGTTTGTTGGCTGAGCTGTTGCAGCCAGGATCGTTTTAATCAGAAAAGATTTTCACAAATTCTCTGCACACCTTACAAAAATAACTTTAATTAATTATCTTTAATTTACCGCTGAGCTGAGATTGCTGCTATAATTATTTGTGATCCATCAAGCCGCGTTTCTGTGTGCGAGAGCCGCGCCGCTGCAGAGACGTTGTCGGCTTGCAGGCGTTTTTATTATTGAAGTTTCTGCGATGGAGACAATTAAAGCTAATCTCTTCTTCTAATTAGAGTAATTCCTGATCTGAAACCAAATTATTACAATCGATCTCTGCTGGTGTAAAGTTAATTTTAGCTCTGGAGTTTTACATTTTTCTGTAAAAACGAAATCATTTCCTCATTTGGCCTGATTTCTGAAGCATGTGGCCAGTTAAGCCGTCGCTCCGGCCCGATCAGCCTCTCCGCGTCAGAACCAGGACAGGACCGGTTCAGGCGCTTTGGGTTCAGAACCAACAAATATTCTTCAGCATCATTGCTGCTGCCACAACGAGCCGTTAGCCAAGAACCGGAGAGACCAGAATCCCTGGACTTGTGTGGACCACAGCGCTGACAGCTGATGATGTCATCATGCTGAATGTGGTCTCTGCTGCCCGGATGCTGTGCTGTTAGCATGTTAGCATGAGACCTTAATCTGGAACAGCCTTCAGTCAGAGGCTTCTCAAGAGCCGTTGCAAGACTGACTGCTAGTGGAGGCCCGTCCAGGCCGAAGCCACGACTCTGCAGAAACATTTTCTCTCTTACAGATTTGGTTTGTAACCAATCAGAGCGAAGAGACGAATGAAATGAACTGCAACTCAATAATCTATAAACCAGAAAGAAAAACAAATACAAGGAAGAAATTAATTTAAATGCAAGTAAAGATGAACTAACAACTAAACGCGACAAACAAATGAATATGGAAAAACTTAAATAATCCAACAGAAATGATCCAAACCCAAAACATCAGAGCAGATTTGACTCTTTATCGGCCAAACATGCTTCCATCTGATTTTGTTGATTTCCATAGTAGTTTAGTTAATATGCTGATGTTTTCTCTGCTTATGTTTAATGATAATCTACATATCATCTGTCCAGAAAAATTACTGATAAACTTTAAGTTTGTCTGGAAAACAACCAAGATAAAACATGAAGCACCTGTTATTGAAAATAAATATTAATCCTCATGCTCCACTGCTTTGCGCTTCATTATGAACGTCTTTAATTAAACAGGGCAGGTAAATAATTGACTTGTAAATAGTTCTTATTATTTTATTTGAAGTTATTTTGAATTGTAATGTCTCTGCTGGTTCCTTAGTTTCTGTTTTCAGGTTTAACCCGTGAGTTAAACCTCCTGCTTCAGATTCTGATTGCATGTCATCAGTTTTATGCATCTAAAGTATAAATATCAGTTATTATAACGACAATCTTGCCAGCTTAATGAAGCTTTCCTCTCAGCTCTGTTGTGTTTTCTGTTGAATCTTCCTGCTGAATCAATATTTCATCAGTTCGGTGGTTGTTTCTCATAAAATAATCTCATCACAGAGAATAAAGAGCCGAACAGAAACAGCAGGCGGCTCAACAATTAGCCCAGGAAATCTGTCAAACTGCTTTCGGGATTTCAACCAATCGGCTCCAAGGAAATGGAGCAGATTGGTTCCACCTGTTCCCCTCCTGGCCTGTGGGGGCGCTGCACCAACAACCACTGAAGGAAACACAAAAACCTCTGAAGACACTGAGAGCAACTTCCTGTTTCACCAGATGAAACAAGATGGAGGCGTCAGAGTTTAGTGATTTCTCTTTAGTCTTTGGCTGAAGACCAGGAGCCATTTCTGCTGCTAGCGCTAGGCTAGCATGTTAGCTTTGGTTGTATTTACCCAGAATGCCCTGCACTGTGGTCCACTTCCTGCTTGTGGAGCGGTCTCTGGTCCGCTTGCCGTTCAAACCGAACCAGGATTCACTTCTACTGAAGCCAGAGCGAGGCTTGGAGGATCAGAGTTAGCTTAGCATTCACACCTCAATGGACAAACCGAAGTTCCTACGCAGATGAACTGGAGTCGGGTTAAAGCGGAACAGTGGTGGGAACGGTGGTGGGAACAGTGGTGGGAACGGTGGTGGGAACAGTGGTGGGAATGGTGGTGGGAACAGTGGTGGGAACGGTGGTGGGAACAGTAGTGGGAACAGTGGTGGGAACAGTGGTGGGAACGGTGGTGGGAACAGTAGTGGGAACGGTGGTGGGAACGGTGGTGGGAACAGTAGTGGGAACGGTGGTGGGAACAGTGGTGGGAACGGTGGTGGGAACAGTGGTGGGAACAGTAGTGGGAACGGTGGTGGGAATAGTGGTGGGAATGGTGGTGGGAACAGTAGTGGGAACAGTGCTGGGAACAGTGGTGGGAACGGTGGTGGGAACAGTGGTGGGAACGGTGGTGGGAACAGTGGTGGGAATGGTGGTGGGAACAGTAGTGGGAACAGTGCTGGGAACAGTGGTGGGAACAGTGGTGGGAACGGTGGTGGGAACAGTAGTGGGAACGGTGGTGGGAACAGTGCTGGGAGCGGTGGTGGGAACAGTAGTGGGAACAGTGCTGGGAACAGTGGTGGGAACGGTGGTGGGAACAGTAGTGGGAACGGTGGTGGGAACGGTGGTGGGAACGGTGGTGGGAACAGTGCTGGGAACAGTAGTGGGAACAGTGCTGGGAACGGTGGTGGGAATAGTGGTGGGAACGGTGGTGGGAACGGTGGTGGGAACAGTAGTGGGAACAGTGCTGGGAACAGTAGTGGGACAGTGGTGGGAATGGTGGTGGGAACAGTGCTGGGACAGTAGTGGGAACGGTGGTGGGAACAGTAGTGGGAACGGTGGTGGGAATAGTGGTGGGAATGGTGGTGGGAACAGCAGTGGGAACCAGATGTCCCTTCTGCTCTGTTTCTTCTTCCAGACAGTTTCGGGTCAAACTGTATTTTCTGATTCTTTCTGTTCTGGCAGTCAGAGTGAACACAATGCAGCCATAAAGGCTCTGATTCCTCCAGAAACTTGAAGCCAAACTTTGGTGACAGTGGTGTGAAGTGGAGGCCGGCAGACGAGCCTCACTGAAGCGGAGCCGGGCGGATGATGATGATGCAACGGGGGCAGGAGGCTCCGGCAAATGGAGTGCTTGGTGAGGGGGGTATTCATTTAGGAAGACAAACAGCTTCATTTAAAGTTAGCCAAGCACAGAGACTCCCTGCAAACTGCAAATGGGTTGAAATTTGCATCTTTTCACAGACGGGGCTCCAACTTCTCTCCTCCCTCTCTGGTCTCCATCTCTAGAGATAATGGATTATCCTGAGAGCTTCTGTCTTTGATTGGCTTTGCAACACATTTTCCATCGGCTTTTGCCAAAGTAATTCCTCTTCGGTCCTGATCTGCCGCTGATATCGTTACGGCCGTATTTATCTACAGCATGTAAGGAGCGTTTGCTGTTTTCTGTCTTTCCTGAAGAGCGAGCAGAAAGCCGACGCACGCAGAGATCAGAGTCATTTCACGACGATTAAGCCGCACAAATGACAAACTCTCCACCATCACATCTGATTCCTGCTTATCTTTCACCATTACAATCTGCTGATGCTTTTTACAGCTGAGAATGAAATGAAAGTTTGGAGCCTGGCGAACAGATGATGGTCTGCTGAAGAGAGGCAGCAGTGGGTTCGGTTTCTCAGCAGCATCATGCAGGTCGCCGCCGCCTGCATGATGCTGCTCTGTTTTCATGGAGAATATTGATTTGCTGTTCGTAGTTGATGTCGTTAAATTATTTTTGTAACTACGGCTGGAAGCTCTTAATATTTATCATCATGGCTGAAACGTAAAACATCACGAAAGAAAAAACCCAACTGCAGTGCAGCCATGAATTACATTCAGGTACTTTATTTATCCCAAAAGGGAAATTAAAAGTTGTTATAACTCAGATAATCCAAGTTTATTCAGAGTCGTTGTGGATGGTGATGCTGTGGGCTGCAAGGAGCTGCAGTAGCAGTCAATCTTTCAACGATTCTGAGGAAGCCTCTGACTGAAGACATGACTGTCCTGACATGCTAACAGCTCAACATCTGGGCAGCAGAGACAATATTTCACACACCTGTCCTGGATTTTGGGTCATATTTCAGACAGTTTTTCAGATGCTAATCAGTTTTTAATAGACATGCAAATTTACATAATGTGCATAAAAACACGTTGAGGCCAGGGATTCGTAATAAGCATGTTGCTGCTTTGTGAAGTTTCCATGAAGGGAATTTATTTTTATAATTCCTATTTGAGCAAATTTACAGTCGACAGAAATGTTTGAGTTTATCTGCGTTTGTGTCGTTATGACATGAAATTAAATGTTATGGTCTAAAACCGAAACGTCTCGTCATATCCAACAGCCTCGGCTGAATTATCTCGTTTCGGATGATTTTACTGAATGAACAGCCACAGAAATGGGATTTAAAATTTTCCTCTGATATATTTTCAGTTTTTCTTGGTGCCTCCATCACCGTGTCTCAAGTTGGGGCAGAAAGAAAGCTGGTTGACGATGATTACAGGAGAATTACAGCTGCTCTGCTCAGTCCAGGTGACTGACGCTGTTAGTTTACTAGAGAATTTTTATGTTTTCCAATTACAGATCATGTCTTGAGGAGTTAATTGCTGCCTGACCCTTGGAGCCGTGTTTGTTTTCTGAAGCTCTAATGACCGGAGCAGCAGAACGGTTTTATCTCACCCAGCCAGGAGGGGGTCGGTAACGAGGGTCAGGCGGCTCGTTAGGACGAGGCGTCCATGTTTATCCTCTCAGACCAACATGATCGTCCTGCGTTTGCGGTTTATTTTCACTAAAACATTCAGAGCAGGTTTTATCCATGTTGCTTCTTCATCCGTCCTGTTGAGCAGCAGCTGAATCCATGACCTCTGCTCTTCCTCTGTTGTTTTGTGTTCAGGGACGCCGCCGGCCACGGGGACGGGGACGCTCGTCGTCCATCTGGAAGACTACAACGACAACGCGCCGTTCGTGGTGCCGTCGGTGGCGCAGGTGTGCGAGGACGCCGGCGACATGAACGTCGCCGTGGTCGCAGGACGGGACAGAGACTTGGCGCCCAATGGGGCGCCGTTCAAGATAGAGCTGGGGAAACAACCGGGCCTGGACAAAACATGGAGGGTCACCAGAATCAACTGTGAGTTTCTGATCAGGAAGCAGAACCCAGATATTTATCCACCCGGGATAAAACAAACCAGTTATTGTTTGCTGCCTTTATTCAGGCTGCTTGTCTATTAGCTGCATATGTTCATCAACAATACGAACATTTTTCCTCCTCCGTTTTATGATCTTTATTCCTCCAGAAAGAGAGGATTGCAAAAGCTGTTCATGTTTTCTCATCTGTCCAGAACCTGCTTTCCATCAGACGAATGGAAGAAATTACATCCTGATGAGAGGAAGGAGTTCAGTGTGCTAAGCTAAGCTAAGCTAAGCTAAGCTAAGCTAAGCTAAAGCCTGACCTCCACCTCCACTTCTTCTCCCATTTTGACCCAATGTGTGACCTTTGACCCTGTTCCTCCTGAAATCTAAATTTGCCTGATTTGTTTTGTTCACGTCCCAGAAAGGATGAATGTTTCCACACAAAACGCTCCAGCAGCTCCGGCTCTGATCCCTGCAGAGTAATCAGAGTATTTCTGGGGGAGTCGGGTTCTGATCCGACAGATCGGATCTGTGTTGGAACGGTTTTCACGGGTTCAGTTTCTCCGTAAAGGATGACGTGCTTCCTGGAGAGGTTCACCCGCTCTGGGTTCTGGTGCCGCCGGGCTCAGCAGCTCCTGCGTTTTGTCTCATTACGGCATGAAGTGAACGAACTGCAGCGTTTCTGTCACAACTGGAAACTGGTTTAAAATGATGCAACACCATGTAACCGTCGGAGGCAACTTCAAATGCACCAATTTCTGTCGCTTGAGTGTTAAGCAAAGTCTAACCTGGTAGTTACTTCAGGCTGACACACACACACACACACACACACACACACACACACACGCATGCACACACGCACACACACACACACGCACACATGCACACACACACGCACACACGCACACACACACACGCACGCACATACACACACACACACGCACACACACACGCACACACGCACACACACACACACACACACACACACACACACACACACTGTGCAGAATAAGCTTTGATGCAGAGCAGATCTCCTAATTCTCCGTCGCTGTGTCTCCTGCAGCCACTCATTCCCAGATCATGCTCCTGCAGAGTCTGAAGAAAGCCAACTACCAGCTGCCGCTGCTCATCACGGACTCAGGCATTCCCCCTCTGTCCAACAGCACAGAGGTCAAAGTTCAGGTGTGCATCTGTACAAAGACCAAGAGATACTGCAGCTCCGCCCACTCCCACCGCACTAGCCTTGTTGTGCTGCTGTCCACACTGCTGCTTGTCCGTCTCTGTGAGTATTCCCACTCTGCTGACCTCACACTGACCCGCCGGTGCCGTTCGCTTTGTTGCTCCTGATTGGTTCGATTCTGTGAGAAGTGATGCAGAAACATCTGAAACAGTAGAAAAATATTCCACAATTCTGATTTTCATAACTGCAGCTCATTGAAAATCTGCCTGTTCATGATTTCTGAACCATTCAGAGGAAAACGGAGCCGTGGAAGTGGAAACGCCTCGACCGAAACGCAGCGAGTCTCTGCAGCTGCGTCTCACATGATGAAGGCATTTTCAGCAATCCACTGTGTGTGTGTGTGTGTGTGTGTGTGTGTGTGTGTGTGTGTGTGTGTGTGTGTGTGTGTGTGTGTGTGTGTGTGTGTGTGTGTGTGTTATTAAGGCACACACACACTCACTGCTCATTGCTACTTCTTATGCAGATGCTGTGGGAACTGCAGACGCTTTGGGAACTGCAGACGTTGTGGGAACTGCAGACGTTGTGGGAACTGCAGACGCTTGGGAACTGCAGACGCTTTGGGAACTGCAGACGCTTTGGAAACTGCAGACGTTGTGGGAACTGCAGACGTTGTGGGAACTGCAGACGTTGTGGGAACTGCAGACGCTTTGGGAACTGCAGACGCTTTGGGAACTGCAGACGCTTTGGAAACTGCAGACGTTGTGGGAACTGCAGACGCTTTGGGAACTGCAGACGCTTTGGGAACTATCAGATACGATTCAGTTCATCAAGAGAAACAGATGGGATATTTTCTGTGGATCGTTCAGACTGCCTGGAAGAAATGTAGCGTCTAGTGTGTTGTGATGCTTTCAGGGTGAATTTACTGCACATCTGGACACGTTGGCAGCTGTTAGTAATACTAATAATTCATGACTCTCCTCTCCAGAACAACAAGCTGCTTGTGGATCTCCTGGTTTCTCCAACAGTCTGAAGAACCAGACATGTAAACGGGTCAGAGCTTCTCTCCACCTGATGCAGTTAGAGCCACTCAGTGAGAATCAATGTGAGGGTTTCCTAATAACTTCTTTGCTGTTGAGTTTTGTGGACCTTTGGTTAGTTTGCTGTCCAGTATGTTGTAAACACGCTCAGACTAGCGGAGGTTTAGAACCGTCGGCTCTAAACTCCTTCAGTCCTGCAATGATTCAGACAGAAACTCCTCTTTGTGTTTCTGATTTTTATGCAGAAGTCAACCTTGTACTTACTCCAAACGTCTCATTTAGTCCGAGCACCAGCATGAATAATTCATGGTCTCTGCGCAGAACGCAGGCCGTTTGGTGAGAGCAAAATTCATTTCTCAGCTTTCAGAGTCTCTTTCCTGCTTCCTGGTTGTGCATTTCGTGCCGGAGGCGATGTTCAGCGGGAGGAACGGTGGCAGGAGCAGAGACAGTGAGGGATGATGGGGAAACCAAAGAACATATTTCACTCCAGCCTTAAGAGATGATGGACCTATAATTATGTCTTTGTTCAGCAGATTGCTGTCAGCCTGAGATTTATGGACCAGAGAGCGTCAGACTCATCGTTTCTCTTGTTTTCCTTCTTTTCGTTGGTCTGAACGTTTTTCCTCATTTTCTCTTTGATTGTTTCCACCAGAATATCTGATCCTCTCGCCTCCTGCCTGTAACATCTGCGGTTTTATTTTTACATGAAGGAAGTTTGTTCTAACAATCATTTGTTTCCTGCTGTGCGTCGCGTCGGTGAGAAAAATCATTTTAAAAATCATTTTTAATCGTTTAGGTCCGGGATTCCCAAACTTTCCATCCCAAACCTACATTTTCACATTTTAATCAAATATATATTGATAAAATAAACTGCATTCAAATTATTATGCAAGTGATATTTTCTCAGATTTCCTTAAATGGTCAAATGATGGTCAGTTTAATTTTACAGTCATGAACTATTACAGTATAAATCCAATTTTACTGATCCAAGCTCCCATCAGAACAAGATTATTTTCAGAAATAAAAACTCAAAATGTTCTGTTCCAAATTATTATGACAGCAGATTTTCTAAACATTTTATGGATTATAAAGATCCACAAACTGTCATTCTGTGAATGTGCAGCATGAAGTACTGAAATCAAAAACTATTTCAGTCAAAAACACACAAAGAAACACACACATAAACACACACACATAAACACACACCCAGAAACACACACATAACACACACCCAGAAACACACACCCAGAAACACACACACATAAACACACACCCAGAAACACAGGTGGAGGACAGGTCGTGGGTCGTGGACAGGTGGAGGACAGGTCGTAGGTCGTGGGTCGTGGACAGGTGGAGGACAGGTCGTGGGTCCTGGACAGGTGGAGGACAGGTCGTGGGTCGTGGACAGGTGGAGGACAGGTCGTGGGTCGTGGACAGGTGGAGGACAGGTCGTGGGTCCTGGACAGGTGGAGGACAGGTTGTGGGTCCTGGACAGGTGGAGGACAGGTTGTGGGTCGTGGACAGGTGGAGGACAGGTCGTGGGTCCTGGACAGGTGGAGGACAGGTTGTGGGTCCTGGACAGGTGGAGGACAGGTTGTGGGTCCTGGACAGGTGGAGGACAGGTCGTGGGTCGTGGACAGGTGGAGGACTGATCAGTGCGGCGGATAGTCAGAGTCTGACACAGGAAGAGAAGTTTCCCTTTCAGTTCCCTTATCTCGCCGCTGACCTCTGACCCTGCAGTAGAGAGAAAAATGGGGAGGAATCGGTTAAAGAAACGACACAATAAAGGTGTGAAGCTTGAACGTCGTTTCATTTTAAAGAAATGTTCAAAAACATTAATACTTCTGCTAATTTTCTTGGAAAAATAGCCACAAATATTCAGCAATGAAGGAACAATTGATGGGATTAATCAAGAATCAATTACTAAACCAGGTGTAAATCACAGTAAAAATTAAAGTCTAAATTATTATAAGTCAAAATACTAAGAAATAATTCAGATTTTTGAGAATAAATATTTTTAAACAGAATAATAATATGGAGCTGAATGATAATCACTGCAGCAGCATTTTCACTCCAATGAACTTAATTCAGTTTTAATCATTCTGACAGAACAAAACTGGTTTTGTTCTGTCTGCTGTGTGGAGCTTTAATGGACCGACATGCAGTTTGGTTCTGACTGCAGACGCCATGTTGGCGCCGTCGGGCTGCCTGGCGGTTCACACGGCGCCACCTGCTGCTGTCATCAGCTTCCTGTCGCTCTGTTCATGCTGAGGCCGAGGTGCTAATGATGCTGCCGCCCCCGTTAGCGCAACGCAGAGCAGATCGCTAACGACAAGTCTAAAAATATTGCAACGCAGAGACAATTTAAAAGGTGAGGAAATGCAGCCAAAGAAAATTCACTTTGGAAAAAGTTCTAATAAACATTTTGAACTTTAAATTCTCAAGATGAAAGTCTGTTTTCCGTGATTGCATGTGAAGGCATCACCATCTAAATCTATCTGCAACATGATGAAGGGAGAAAGCAGTCATAGATCCACGCTCGCTTGCCATGGCTACGCTCTACATCAGGTCCATTTCTGCTCAGTAAATAAACTGGTTTCACTGGTTTCACTGGTATCACTGGTTTCACTGGTTTCACTGGTTTCACTGGTTTCACTGGTTTCACTGGTTTCACTGGTTTCACTGGTTTCACTGGTTTCACTGGTTTCACTGGTTTCACTGGTTTCACTGGTTTAACTGGTTTCACTGGTTTCACTGGTTTCAGTGCTATCACTGGTTTCACTGGTTTCACTGGTTTCACTGGTATCTGGTATCACTGGTTTCACTGGTTCACTGGTATCACTGGTATTACTGGTATCACTGGTATCACTGGTTTCACTGGTTTCACTGGTTTCACTGGTATCACTGGTTTCACTGGTTCACTGGTATCACTGGTATCACTGGTTTAACTGGTTTCACTGGTATCACTGGTTTCAGTGCTATCACTGGTTTCACTGGTATCACTGGTTTCACTGGTATCACTGGTATCACTGGTTTCACTGGTCACTCGTTTCACTGGTATCACTGGTATCACTGGTTTCACTGGTTTCACTGGTATCACTGGTTTCACTGGTTTCACTGGTATCACTGGTATCACTGGTTTCACTGGTTTCACTGGTATCACTGGTATCACTGGTTTCACTGGTATCACTGGTATCACTGGTTTCACTGGTTTCACTGGTATCACTGGTTTCACTGGTATCACTGGTATCACTGGTTTCACTGGTTTCACTGGTATCACTGGTTTCACTGGTTTCACTGGTATCACTGGTTTCACTGGTATCACTGGTTTCACTGGTATCACTGGTTTCACTGGTTTCACTGGTATCACTGGTTTCACTGGTTTCACTGGTATCACTGGTTTCACTGGTTTCACTGGTATCACTGGTATCACTGGTTTCACTGGTATCACTGGTTTCACTGGTATCACTGGTTTCACTGGTATCACTGGTTTCACTGGTTTCACTGGTATCACTGGTTTCACTGGTATCACTGGTTTCACTGGTTTCACTGGTTTCACTGGTATCACTGGTTTCACTGGTTTCACTGGTATCACTGGTATTACTGGTTTCACTGGTATCACTGGTATCACTGGTTTCACTGGTATCACTGGTTTCACTGGTTTCACTGGTTTCACTGGTATCACTGGTTTCACTGGTATCACTGGTTTCACTGGTATCACTGGTTTCACTGGTTTCACTGGTATCACTGGTTTCACTGGTTTCACTGGTTTCACTGGTATCACTGGTTTCACTGGTATCACTGGTATCACTGGTATCATTGGTTCACTGGATCTGGTTTCACTGGTATCACTGGTTTCACTGGTTTCACTGGTATCACTGGTTTCACTGGTATCACTGGTTTCACTGGTTTCACTGGTTTCACTGGTTTCACTGGTATCACTGGTATCACTGGTATCACTGGTTTCACTGGTTTCACTGGTTTCGCAGTGAAACCAGTCAAACTTTCCCACATCAGCATTCATGAGGCGAAGCTGCATTTATGAACAATAACAACTAATTTACATGTAATTTACCCTGAAATGGATTCAGCAGAAATATTTGATTATTGATCTGATCTGATCAGGAGTATTGATCTCCTATCAGTTCCATTGGTTCTGAAACATTCACTTATTTCAAGAAAAATTAACAGTAAAATTGAAAATGAAATTTTTTTTATTTGTCAAAAAAGCAACCTTGTGTTTGTCTCAGCTCCTTCGTCACAAACCTGCAGCCAGTTCAGACTCGCCACCAGAGGGCGACTGAGTGACATGCCTTTAAATCAACCAATAGGAAAATTCAACTGCAGTAGCCACACCTCAGCCCATAGGGGGCAGCACTGAAACAGTTTTAGGCAAAATATTCTACAAATTGGCACAGAAATGTCAAAAATTATAGAAATTTTGCTGAGCAGATCGTCTGAAGTGATGTCAGCACTACAGCGGTCTGCAGTGACGAAGAGTCAGCAACAAGTTGATTCATTCAGCAACAAGTTGACTCACTCAGCAACAAGTTGATTCATTCAGCAACAAGTTGACTCATTCAGCAACAAGTTGACTCATTCAGCAACAAGTTGATTCATTCAGCAACAAGTTGACTCATTCAGCAACAAGTTGACTCATTCAGCAACAAGTTGACTCATTTGACAACAAGTTGACTAATTCAGCAACAAGTTGACTCATTCAGCAACAAGTTGATTCATTCAGCAACAAGTTGATTCAGCAACAAGTTGACTCATTCAGCAACAAGTTGACTCACTCAGCAACAAGTTGATTCATTCAGCAACAAGTTGATTCATTCAGCAACAAGTTGACTCATTCAGCAACAAGTTGACTCACTCAGCAACAAGTTGACTCATTCAGCAACAAGTTGACTCATTTGACAACAAGTTGACTCGTTCGACAACAAGTTGACTCATTCAACAACAAGTTGACTCATTCAGCAACAAGTGAGTCAAACTTCAACTGCAGTAGCCACACCTCAGCCATAGGGGGCAGCACTGAAACAGTTTTAGGCAAAATGTTGTCGAATGAGTCAACAAGTTGACTCATTCAGCAACAAGTTGATTCATTCAGCAACAAGTTGATTCATTCAGCAACAAGTTGACTCAGCAACAAGTTGACTCATTCTGCAACAAGTTGAATCGTTCGACAATAAGTTGTTATTCAGCAACAAGTTGACTCATTCAGCAACAAGTTGACTCATTCTGCAACAAGTTGAATCGTTCGACAATAAGTTGACATTCAGCACAAGTTGATTCATTCAGCAACAAGTTGACTCATTTGACAACAAGTTGACTAACTCAGCAACAAGTTGACTCATTCAGCAACAAGTTGACTCATTCAGCAACAAGTTGACTCATTCAGCAACAAGTTGACTCATTCAGCAACAAGTTGACTCACTCAGCAACAAGTTGATTCATTCAGCAACAAGTTGATTCATTCAGCAACAAGTTGACTAACTCAGCAACAAGTTGACTCATTCAGCAACAAGTTGACTCATTCGACAACAAGTTGACTCATTCAGCAACAAGTTGACTCATTCAGCAACAAGTTGACTCACTCAGCAACAAGTGAGTCAACTTCAACTGCAGTAGCCACACCTCAGCCCATAGGGGGCAGCACTGAAACAGTTTTAGGCAAAATGTTGTCGAATGAGTCAACAAGTTGACTCATTCAGCAACAAGTTGATTCATTCAGCAACAAGTTGATTCATTCAGCAACAAGTTGACACATTTGACAACAAGTTGACTAACTCAGCAACAAGTTGACTCATTCTGCAACAAGTTGACTCATTCTGCAACAAGTTGACTCATTGCTCGTTGCCCGACTCAGATAAAGTGATGAACTCTTCCTGTCCTCCGTTCCTGTGGAAGCTGCTCTGAATCGATTCTGGGTTTTGTGTCAGGTTCTCCAGTTTCCGTCCAGAGGAAGCGTCGCCTCTTTAGGCCTGTCACGATACAGATTTTGATGGACGATAAATTGTCTCAAAAATTATTCCGATAAACGATAATATTGTTTGAAAACCTTTTTACATTGATTTAATGGAAATTACGTAATAATACATGCGATTTTCTGCCAAAGATAGAAACACTTTACTTTCAAAAGACACTTAACACTGAAACTGATACACAAAATAAATAAAACAACCAAAACTAAAATAGATTCTTAGTCTCCATTAACAATAAATGTACTTGAATACAAACTAAACAACATGAAGCCAAACTGGAAATAAACACTGCATTCAACCAAAAGAGTGCAGATTATGAAGTCTGTATATTATCTTGCCCTTCTGTAATCATTAGATTTAAATAGAAAAGAATCCGACTGCCTGATGCAAAAGTTCAAACTACAGGATTTTTTACCCTGAACGACAATCTGAGTTCTAAGATTGTTGAACAAAGATCTAAATCAAGGATTTATCCAGACTGGGAGAGTGACACAGCCTGTTGAAGGTGACCGGTAGCCAATCAGAAAGCGCAGATTCTCCTCCTGCTTTCTGAGGGGAAACAGGGAGGGAATCCCGAACAGCTGACACGATGCAACCCGAAGTCCAGCAACATCGGAAACAACATGAATGTTTATTCAACATTTCATGCAAAGAAAGTATAAATAACTAGGGGAGGAGTTGGAGCGAAATTTCAACCAGAAAACCCGGAAACTTTTCAGCTGTTCTTCGTTAACGTGACATAAATAGGTTATAATGATTGTCATTCAGTCAGACTGACACTAGCCACATGCATTGACGGTATATTGTAGTAAGGAATTGATTAATAAATTAGTGAACTGGGTTTATTATTTTGTGTCAATTGTTGGACACAACACGGTTCGATCGAACCGTCATAGCTCAGCTTTCTGTCGGCTAATGTCTCTCAGGTTTTGATAATGAGTCGACAATCCGACTTCAGATGGTGCAGCGCGCGCTGGGCGTTACGCTAAGAAATAAGTAAGAGAGGGTCAGTGGAGTTGAGCCTTTGTTCATTCAGTGTCATCAACAGGAAGAGAAAAAGGCAGGAAGAAACGACATAGCCGATAATTGAAATGAGGTCGATAGTTTTAATTTATTGTCCGATTAATTGACTTATCGTTTATCGCGACAGGCCTACGCCTCTTTCCTCTGCAGCTCTTCCTGTGAGGCGCAGCGTTCCCGCCGGGAAAAGCCGATGCTTTGAGTTTCCTCAGAGAGCTGGAACAGGAAGCAGAAGGAAAAACGTCGCAGTTTTTCCCTCCGTCTTTTCTCAGTGTCTCTGGAAATATGGCTCACATGTTTATGAAACTAATATCTAGTTTTCTAAATGCTGTTGGTGGAAATGAAGCTGTTGAACATGGAGAAGATAAAAAAAAGTTTCCTCATTAAATGTTTTAACATCAGACGCTGTTTGAAAGTGAAACCAGAACGGATTCGATCTGCCAGCGTCTCAACTTCCACTTTTTAAAAACCGATTTAAAATGTAATACCTGGAGATAAATTTATTTCAGATGTAATCTATCAGCTGGAGACGACTGGAAACATGAAACACAAGGAACGTTTGATCAGCAAATATTCAACTTTACCTTTAAATGAACTCATTAGCATATTTCCCTGATACCAAAGAAGAAATTTACATGAAGTGTCGTCCTCACACACACACACGCACACACACACTCACACACAGAAACACACACACACAGAAACACACACACATATTTTACTGATTGGCTTTTCCAGCCAATCAGTAAAATATGTGTGTGTGTTTCTGTCTGTGAGTGTGTGTGTGTGTTTCTGTGTGTGTGTGTGTGTTTCTGTGTGTGTGTGTGTGTGTGTGTGTGTGTGTGTGTGTGTGTGTGTGTGTGTGTGTGGTGGTTCTCAGGTCTCTCCAGGTGTTAAATCTCTCCAGGTGACATAAACATGAAACCTGAACTTCCAGAGCCAGAAGTGAAGTTCACTGAAGTTGCGTTTGCAGCATTGATTATTGATTTCTTTCTTTCTCACCTGTTCAGGCTGACAGGTGAGTTTGTGATTCTCCAATCAGAGAGCCGTCTGACTGCAGGTTGGATACTGACGGCTCCTAACTGCTCCACAGAACCTCGCCAGTACCTGGAAAATCATGAACAGATCCAGGTGAACTGGGCTCTTCTCCATGATATTCACTCTTCTTTTTGTTTCCTCCTCCCATCCCCCCACCCTGACCCCTGACCCTTGACCCCGCTCCAGGCCTGTAAGTCCTGCTGAAACGTCTCATTGTCCTTTTCGCACCACTGAGAAGCAACGACGAATCAGGAGAAGAGGAGGAAATCTTCTCACCTTGACGAAATCCAACAAGCAAATCTCGAAGTTTCTCCCTGGAGCAGCGCCGCCGCCTGTCAGCCATGTTTGTTTTTAAGTCACTTCCTGTTTCCTGTTGGCCCTCTTCATTCTTCCTCTCCATCTTCACCTCTGATCTTGCGTTCCTGTTCTTTCTTTCCTCTCCCTCTCTCCATGCATCATTGAGGAATGTAGCGGCGTTGGCATCGCGCCACATCCTGAAGGAACATTAAAACTGATATTGAGAGAAAAAGCAGAAACTAATGAAGCAGAAACCTCCTCTCCCCGTCATCATGGCTACCTCTTTTCCCCCATGAAGACTGCCTGGCTGCATCCCCCGTCCGTCCGTCCGTCCGTTGACCCGTCCGCCCGCCGCCGGCCCAGCGAACTGAGCAGCCCGTCTGGCGGCGGGTCGCGGCGGTTTGTCTTTGTCTTCTCGTCAGAGCGTGTTTGATGGTTTATCTTGTTTCCGTCTCAGAGGGCTGAAGCCTTTTTCTCCGTCTGCAGTCTGTTGGTGGTTGTGGCGTTTTTAGGACGAAGTTGTTGCCATAAGCCTTCAAAATAAGAGACTCTGGAGTCGTTTCCTCATTTTGCTTCTGTTTTTATCACATTAGTTATCACAGAGTGGAAAACTGTAAATCTTTACAGTCATGGTGTAAACCTGAAAAAGTACTATTAAATAAATATTTTTATTTTTTACCATTGTGTAAATATACAGCATTGATTAACTTATGTAGTTTGATTGCAAGTCTTTCACAGTAAGTCTGTTTTAAAAGAGGAAACCATCTTTTCTGTGAATTTAGAGCCTATTGTTGTGTTCACTATTTTACTGTAACATCTTTGGTTTCTGATTGTTTTCCTTTTTGAAGTGTGATTAATTTGCACAATCAGGACTGGAGTTTGTTGGACTGTTTGGGTTCGGCTCGTTCTCCCGCCTCTCTGTCCGCCTCTCTGTCCGCCTCTCTGTCCCGTCAGAAGAAGAACAAAGACTCGCTGGATCCTTTTGCTTTTTATCTTCGCGCTCATCGGAGAAACGTAGCGTGTGCTGGAAGACCAACTGAAACAAAAAAGGACATTTTGAATGAGTTCTGTCTGTCTTTTGCACTAATTTAATAAAGCCGTTACTGAAGTTCCCATGATGCTTTAGTGTTATTCTGATGAGTCTTTATCAGGTCCAAATCCTTGCTCTCCTGTATTGAAATTCAATAGTGAGTGTTTACCAGTCGGGTAACAAATATAGTCTATTCCACAATTCAGACCCTAAATTTGAGGTGAGAGTAAAGTTTATGTCTCCTCACTTTGTATAAATCCTGATTAGTTGATCCCAGAGGCTAAAGCTAACAGCTAGTCCAAAACTAGCCAAAACCAAAGTGAACTCCAGTCTCAAAAATGTTATTTCCTCATGTGTAAATGTTTTTTCTATATTTTGAAACCATCATCTTTGTGTTGGGAAGTTATTTCGATGAAGTCAATAATTACTTGCACAAGAAAATGAAGGTAGAAGGTTGTTCATGGAAACATTTCTGGTTAGAGTGATAAACAGGTTTAGATAGCATAAAAATCATACTGACTGATTATCTCCTGCTATTGCCCTCATAAATAATATACAGGTGTGTTTTCCATTGATCATATTATTGTGCAAGTTGGAATTACAACAATAAATTTACCTAATGGAAACACACCATTTTGAAAAAAAACATGGTTTTTGATTAATTTTTGCGTTTGGTTTTCTCACTGTATAAATCAGTTTATTTTACAAAACTGCAACAGAAACACATTTTCACATCACGTGTCAGATGATCAATAACTGGATGTTACTACTGGCAGAAATAACAAAGAAGATGACAGGTAATGTTAGAGAATGATGCTGCTGCAGGTTTTTGTTTTAGTTTCTCATAAATCCTTTATTGTCACTCGGTAAATATCATATTCATTGTTCCTGGTAGGGAAAGCCATGCCTTGTATTATACAATGAAGTTAAGTTTTATATCAAGAGTCTGACAAAAAGTAACTATTAAAACAATTGAAATCTGTACCGCTTTGAATTAGCTGAGCTGTTTATCTGTATTTGTTTTTTTGAAAGAAATCTTTCACTCTGTCGTTATACAGTGTGTCTGGGAACAAAGTAAAAAAAAACATCTTCCCCCGCTCCTCCCCCTCACACACAACAGACTTCTTGTGGCTTTGATGTGAAACTGTGATGTCACTCATCCTCTCTGTGACATCATCGGTGACTGTCTCTATATTCCAAGATTCCACAGAGAGATTCATTTGCGTTTTTCAGAAAGTTTAAAGATCACCATGGCTCAACCCAGTTTAGCTGATACAGTGAACGTTTTAGAGAAGCGCTTCAAGGGTTTAGAAGAAGAAAACCTCCAGCTTAAAATGACCGTGGAGAAAATCAGGTCAAAAATTGAACAGCTGTCCAACAGCTCAGACAGCAACTTGAGATATATAGAGGAGCAGAACAGGAGGCTTCTGAGCCTGAAAAAGGAGAATGACTACAGAATCAAGGCCCTAAATATGGATTTGCAGGAGGCGAGAGCCACAATTAAATCTTTAAAAAAGAGGTTAAGAATATTTCCCGCACAAATGAACAACTGCAGCAGAAACATACATCCATTCGGCGACAGGCCCACTTTTCTTTAATGGAAAGCGCCAGAGATCGGGTCTGGATGGAGGCAGAAAACATCAAATTAAATAAGGAAATCGTGGCGTTAAAGATTAAATTAGATCAACTGAAAGGCAAAGACAAATTAAACAAGATGGAGAAAACTGTAACAACCACGGAGGAAACGGAAGAAAACACGCCAGGAGAAACAACACCAACAATGTTTCAGAGAGTCGGGCGTGCTTTTCGAACAATGTATGATTCAGGAACTTTGAAATATTGGGTGCCATCATGGGTATTTTAAGACTGCCATGTTTTTTCTCAAAAAACTAATTTTGAGAAAAAGCACGCCCGACTCTCTGAAACATTGTTGGTGTTGGGGTTTCTACCAGGGAGCAGGTCAGGGTTGAACGATGGAAGAGTTTCGGAGAGGAGGCTCCGTCTGATAGTGGAACCTCGGATTGTGGAAGAGCAGTGTGGTTCTGGTTCTGGTCGTGGAACACTGGATCAGCTCTACACCCCCAGCAGGGTCCCGGAGGTGTCTGGTCCGCATTGCCGGCAGTTAGTCGGACTCGTTCCCAGTGAGAGTTGGACTCCAGCAGGGCTGCCCTCAGTGATTCTGTTCATCATTCATGGACAGAATTTCTAGGCGCAGTCAGGATGTTGGGAGATCCGTTCTGGTGGACTTAGGGTCACTTCTCTGCTTTTTGTGGATGATTTGGTCCTATTGGCTCCATCAGGACGTGATCAGCAGCTCTCACTGGACCAGGGAGACCCGGGGAAGACACAGGACACGCTGGAGGGACCATGTCTCTCAGCTGGCCTGGGAACGACTTCGGGTTCCCCAGAGGAGCTGCAAGAAGTGGCTGGGGACAGGAAAGACCGGGCCTCCTTTCTGAAGCTGCTTCCCCCGAGACCCGACCTGGATTAGTGGCAGACAATGGACGGACAGAAGGACGGAAGGACAGACGGATGGACAGAAGGACGGAAGGACGGATGGACGGACGGACGGACGGAAGGACAGACGGACGGAAGGACGGATGGACAGACGGATGGACGGACGGATGGACAGACGGATGGACGGACGGACGGAAGGACAGACGGATGGACGGACGGATGGACGGACAGAAGGACAAAGGACAGATGGATGGACAGAAGGACGGATGGACGGACGGACGGGCAGACGGATGGACGGACGGACGGAAGGACAGACGGACGGAAGGACGGATGGACAGACGGACGGACGGATGGACGGACGGACAGAAGGACAGACGGAAGGACAGACGGATGGATGGATGGACGGACGGAACTTTTTCACGTGGGATTTCCTTTTTCTGTTTGCTGTTGGTTCTACATTTTCTACAGCACATGTCAAAGTCAAGGCCCGTGATCCGGCCAATGAAGCCGCTGCAGCTCGAGTGGCTTCATTTCATCAGCAATCAGAGCAGAGATCAACTTCCGGGTCCCCCTCCTCAAGAATGGTGGAACGGTTAGTGGACGCTGAGGACAGAGGGTTTCTGGCGGGAGGCAGAGTTCATGTTCACGGAGGTAAGAGACAAACCTCCGTGCTGTGATGTCACTACTGACTTTGAACCACTGATTCAGTAACTATCTA